GAAAGACAGGGGTTTAGTTTCATTCTTCTACAAGTGGAGATCCAATTTGGCCAGCACAATTTGCTGAACATGATGTCTTTCCTCCAGTGAATATTCTTGGCCCCTTTGTCAAATATCAGGTGGCTAAAATTACATTTATTCATATTTGGATCTTCCATTTTGTTCCATTGATCCATTTACAGCTTAAAATCTGGTATAGTAATCCCCCCAGCATTGCTCTTAGTGCTTAGGGTTGCTTTGGCTATCCGAGGTATTCTGTGCTTCCATATGAATCTTAGAATGGTTTTTTCCAATTCTGTGAAAAATGTCATGGGGATTTTGATTGGCATTGCATTGAATCTATAAATGACTTTTGGTAGGATGTTCATTTTCACAATATTAATTCTTCCAATCCATGAGCATGGGAGGTCCTCCCATCTTCTGATGTCTTCCTCGATCTCTTTCTTTAATGATTTAAACTTTTCATTGTAGAGCTCTTTAATGTCTTTGGTCAGGTTTATTCCGAGATATTTTATTTATTTTTTTGCAGCTATTGTGAAGGGGAGTGTTTCCATGTGCTCTTTCTCTGATTGCTTGTTATTGGTATATAGGAAGGCTACAGACTTTTGTAGGTTAATATTATATCCTGCTATTTTACTAAACTTGTTTATAATTTCTAGAAGTTTTCTGGTGGAATTTTTGGTGTCTCTTATGTATAATATCATATCATCTGCAAAAGGGATAATTTGATCTCTTCTTTTCCAATTATTACTCCTTTAATTTCCTTCTCTTGTCTTATTGCTCTTGCAAGAGTTTCAAGCACTATGTTAAAAAAAGGAATGGCAATAATAGACAGCCTTGCCTGGTTCCTGATTTTAGTGGGAATGCTTCCAGTTTTCCTCCAGTTAGAATGATGAGCAGCATTTCCTCCTCCCTCTGCCTCTTTATTTCTCTGTGTCTCTTTTTGTTTTTGTCTCTTGCTCTGTGTGTGTGCATTTGTGTGCATGTGAATGCCTCCTTCTCTCCCCCCCTTCTCTTTTCCTGGTATATCAAAAATGAAAGCAGGTGATTTCATTGTATGACTGATGGCTGTAGATTACAGGCTAAGGTCACAGACTTTTTGTCACCCTGGATTTTCTTGAAGCTTTCCACTTTTCCCTCC